TCTTCAGTCATGGTATATTGACTTTGAAAATTTTGCATAGTTTACATATTAAGTTTTGTGATTAAGTCAGTTTAAGAAGAACCACAAATGGTAGGTCATAAAATTTGGTATGCATTTGTACTGGGACAGAATATATAGAATACTATTCCCAGAGCTGTAATGGCATTTGTACATCTCATATCCATAAAGATTATTTTACCCCGCCCCCTCATGTATGGTCTGTTGACCTTGAAACTTGCAGACTATACGGTATATGTTTTTCTATTTCTTGAAGGCCGTACGGTGGCCTATGATTGCTTACATCCATGCACTTCTTTTGAACTCTGGTGGATAGTTGTCTCATTGGCAATCACATATACCACATCTCCTTATTTTTAGCTCACCTGGCCCGAAGGGCCAAGTGAGCTTTTCTCACCACTTGGCGTCCGTCGTCCGTCGTCCGTCGTCGTCCGGCGTCGTCCGTCGTCGGCGTTAACTTTTTACATTTTGAACTTCTTCTAGAGAACCACTGAATGGAATGAAACCAAACATGGCATGAATGTTCCTTATGAGGTGCTGACCAAGTGTTGTTACTTTGTAGCCGATCCATCATCCAAGATGGCCGCCAGCGGGGGACTTAGTTTAACATAGGACCCTATGGGAAATGCATACAAATGACTTCTTTTAGAGAACCACTGAATGGAATGTAACAAAACATAGCATGAATGTTCCTTACAAGGTGCTGACCAAGTGTTGTTACTTTGTAGCCGTTCCATCATCCAAAATGGCCGCCAGCGAGGGACTTAGTTTAACATAGGACCCTATGGGAAATGCATACAAATGACTTCTTTTAGAGAACCACCGAATGGAATGAAACAAAACATAGCATGAATGTTCATTAGGAGGTGCTGACCAAGTGTTGTTACTTTGTAGCCGATCCATCATCCAAGATGGCCGCCAGCGGGGGACTTAGTTTAACATAGGACCCTATGGGAAATGCATACAAATGACTTCTTTTAGAGAACCACTGAATGGAATGAAACAAAACATAGCATGAATGTTCCTTACAAAGTGCTGACCAAGTGTTGTTACTTTGTAGTTGTTCCATCATCCAAAATGGCCGCCAGTGAGGGACTTAGTTTAACATAGGACCCTATGGGAAATGCATACAAATGACTTCTTTTAGAAAACCACTGAATGGAATGAAACAAAACATAGCATGAATGTTCATTAGGAGGTGCTGACCAAGTGTTGTTACTTTGTAGCCGATCCATCATCCAAGATGGCCGCCAGCGGGGGACTTAGTTTAACATAGGACCCTATGGGAAATGCATACAAATGACTTCTTTTAGAGAACCACTGAATGGAATGAAACAAAACATAGCATGAATGTTCATTAGGAGGTGCTGACCAAGTGTTGTTACTTTGTAGTCGATCCATCATCCAAGATGGCCGCCAGCTGGGGACTTAGTTTAACATAGGACCCTATGGGAAATACATACAAATGTCTTCTTTTAGAGAACCACTGAATGGAATGAAACCAAACATGGCATGAATGTTTCTTATGAGGTGCTGACTGAGTGTTGTTACTTTGAAGGAGATCCATAATCCAAGATGGCCCCAAGCGGGGGACTTAGTTTAACATAGGACCCTATGGGAAATACATACAAATGTCTTCTTTTAGAGAACCACTGAATGGAATGAAACCAAACATGGCATGAATGTTCCTTATGAGGTGCTGACCAAGTGTTGTTACTTTGTAGTTGTTCCATCATCCAAAATGGCCTCCAGTGAGGGACTTAGTTTAACATAGGACCCTATGGGAAATGCATACAAATGACTTCTTTTAGAGAACCACTGAATGGAATGAAACAAAACATAGCATGAATGTTCATTAGGAGGTGCTGACCAAGTGTTGTTACTTTGTAGTCGATCCATCATCCAAGATGGCCGCCAGCTGGGGACTTAGTTTAACATAGGACCCTATGGGAAATACATACAAATGTCTTCTTTTAGAGAACCACTGAATGGAATGAAACCAAACATGGCATGAATGTTTCTTAGGAGGTGCTGACTGAGTGTTGTTACTTTGAAGGAGATCCATAATCCAAGATGGCCCCAAGCGGGGGACTTAGTTTAACATAGGACCCTATGGGAAATACATACAAATGTCTTCTTTTAGAGAACCACTGAATGGAATGAAACCAAACATGGCATGAATGTTCCTTATGAGGTGCTGACCGAGTGTTGTTACTTTGAAGCCGATCCATAATCCAAGATGGCCGCCAGCGGGGGACTTAGTTTAACATGGGACCCTATGGGAAATACATACAAACGTCTTCTTTTAGAGAACCACTGAATGGAATGAAACCAAACATGGCAAGAATGTTCCTTATGAGGTGCTGACCAAGTGTTGTTACTTTGAAGCTGATCCATCATCCAAGATGGCAGCCAGCCGGGGACTTAGTTTAACATAGGACCCTATGGGAAATACATACAAATGTCTTCTTTTAGAGAACCACTAAATGCAATGAAACCAAACATGGCATGAATGTTCCTTATGAGGTGCTGACCAAGTGTTGTTACTATGAAGCCGATCCATAATCTAAGATGGCCTCCAGCGGAGGACTTAGTTTAACATAGGACCCTACGAGAAATACGTACAAAGGTTTTCTTTTAGAGAACCATTGAATGGAATGAAACCAAACATGGCATGCATGTTCCTTTTGAGGTGCTGACCAAGTGTTGTTACTTTGAAGCTGATCCTTCATCCATGATGGCTGCCAAATGGGGACAATGTTTAACAAAGGACCCTATGGACAATACATACAAATGTCTTCTTTTAGAGAACCACATACGGAATGGATTGAAACCAAACATGGCATGAATGTTCCTTATGAGGTGCTGACTAAGTTTTGTTACTTTGAAGCTGATCCTTCATCCATGATGGCCGCCAATGGGGGGACTTCCTTTAACATAAGACCCTATGGGAAATACATACAAATGCTTCTTCTAGAGGTGCACTGAATGGAATGAAACCAAAACATGGCATAAATGTTTCTTATGAGGTGCTGATTAAGTGTTGCTACTTTGTTGCCGATTTACTGTTCAAGATGGCCACCAGGATTTTATTTATTAAACCAAATTTGGCCTCACTCATTATTAGGGTATCTGTTATGACTTTAATCTATTTTTACATGATTTCAAAAACCAAAGTAGAATCAGGTGAGCGACACAGGCTCTTGAGAGCCTCTAGTTATATAGTAGACCTGTTAGAGTTTGTTTAAGTTTGTTTTAGGAGACTCAGTTATGATGTCAATGGGATTTGGTATGCTGTTTTATTCGAATTGGTATTTCTCATTTTCATGGTGAATATTTGGCATTGTACGTTCAGTCATGGGTCGTTGACTTTGGATTGTTTGCGCAGATTACATAGTTTAGCATTGTCATTTTACTTTTCAACATTCTCATCATACCATCAAAACTACACACAGGCGAGACATATCTTTCTGATAGAAAATTTGTAACTTTTAAGTGCCTCGAGGTTACATTTTATGTCCTCTTATATTTTAAATGTGTGTTGTTACAATAACAGTATGAACATTAATGAATAGAAAACAAAGTGTAGTAAACTAAGACAGTTTGAAACAAACACATCCACAAGTTATCAGAATTACATATATGTAGTTATTATTCTAAACGCATCCTGTATTGAGAATGTTCATTTTTTTAAATTACCGTTTCATGTCGAAAAATCCTACAAGGATTTATAAGCTGATGTATTAACTTTCCTTTTTACTAGTGATAAGAACCTTGAAAATGTGAAAAACAACTTTTAATGTTGAGAGTGTTCAATCTTTTAAATTTCTAAGAATTGACATCGATGAAATTTTCGATAGAACATGTTGATTGTATATGTAAAATTACCTAAAAAAAAATATCATCTATGTATAACCTATAGAATGTTTGCCTTCTTAAGCGTGATAACTCTTTTATAATGCACTTTTTTATCTTACATTCACCGTTGATCACCGTTGTAGTTCAATTTGGGGGATAGTATTACACAACGATTCTGGTAGAATAATAAAAATCCAGAAAAGAACAGCAAAAATTAATTTCAATGTGACATTTCAGTTCTATTAAAGTATATAAATATATATATTTTTTAAATGAAACTTTTAAATGGTTATAAATCATTTCTACAGAGAGTAAAATAGCAAAATTTTTACTTAGATAAGGGTAGCTAAATATTTCACAGGTCCTTAAGGGTGTACAGAACATCAGTTAAATAATGAAATAATGAGACTGTTCATGAAAGACAACAACTCCTAATTGACGGTTACCATCTTTATTTAATTTATTCTTATCATCATTACTTATAGAATAGAATAGATTAGAATAGAATAGAATATTTTTATTTCCCAAATTACAGGGCCCATAGAGGGCATAAAATCAGATGCAATTGATTTACATAATTGGTAACAACAACAATAATAGTCACTTGTAAATATATATTTAGTATATTAGCATTGGTCAGAATCAGTGCAAAAAACCACATATATATTGTCATTAAAAAATAAAATTACACTATATGCATTCCGGCATTTTTCTAATCATTTACTTGACTTAGTGTCAATATTCATACCTGATCTCCTTAATTCAAAACAGTCACAAATATAACAGCACAGTTTTTCCATAAGAGTTACATTTTCTTGGGTCAAGAGCTATAAAAATTTAGAAGATTTATTTGAATTTTTAAAATTATAACAATTGTTAGAAATGTATTGAAAAAAATCTTCCCTTATATCATATTGGTCTATATGAATTCCTCCGCCAGTCTGGTTCAAATACATATATATAGCATAGGTCAACGTAAACTGGAATCCGTTTGTATTTAACTCTGAACAAAGTGTAGTAGTTTCACTTACCCTTCTGATGCCTCGAAATTCCACATATGAATTTAATTTCCGGAAAGTACTTACCGAAACTGTTTTCTTTTTCATCCGGAGCTGCTTAATATTGTACTCGTGAATAATAGATAACTTCCTGTTTTGAAAGGTAAAATTATAAGTTTGTTTATTTGCAATTTTATTTAAATACCTTACCACTAAATACACAGGTACTGAGAGATTTTACTGAACACACCAATAGAACATATTTTTTTTTAATCTCCGTTCATAATTTTAAATGAAAATGAATATATAAATATTAAATCTAATAAATGTCAGACTCCCTACCACTGGTGCTTTCGCCGCGCCCCAGTTTTTTGCTACCTTTTTGACCTGGTTGGGGAGGATCCTCATCAATGAATATTATCCCTAAATCAATCATCAGTGTTTACACTGATTAATTTTAAATCAAGATTTTATGTGAGTAAAGAATAAGGAGATGTGGTATGACTGCATTGAGACAATTATTCACCAAAGTAAATCTGAATGGCAAATAAACATATAAAATTTAATCCTGAAAAATGCTATGTCGTGAATATTTCTAAAAAGTCAAATACTAACTTATTTCAATATAAATTACATAATCATGTACTTGAATCTGTCAAAGACAGCAATTATCTAGGAGTTACAATAAGCAATGATCTTGATTGGGCCCCATATTAATAATATAACTTCTAAGGCAAATAAAACACTAGGCTTTTTAGTAGAAACATGAAAAACTGTACACGTAAGGTTAAAAACCTTATGTACACATCACTTGTGCGTCCAACCGTCGAGTACTCCTCACCAGTTTGGGATCTGTACTAACAAAGCCAAATAAACCAAATTGAGCAGATACAGTGTAAGGCTGATTCCATATAAGAAAGTGAAACAACTCCCATAAGCACGTTAGGCAAAAATCATAAGCAATGAACTTCTGTTTTTGAATACATGCTTTACTAATAAAGATAAAGACAATTTGACCAAAAAAAAAATTATGAGCATCATCCTTTTTAAATAAACGAAGCCTTAAATATCATGTTTCTGACATAAGATTTGACAGACTTTATTGTTTCTGACATAAGATTTGACAGACTTTATTGTTTCTGACATAAGATTTGACAGACTTTATTTTTTCTGACATAAGATTTGACAGACTTTATTATTTCTGACATAAGATTTGACAGACTTTATTTTTTCTGACATAAGATTTGACAGACTTTATTATTTCTGACATAAGATTTGACAGACAAATTGAGTTTCTGACATAAGATTTTGACAGACTTGATTCAGACATAAGATTTTTCATACATAAGATATTTTGACAGACAATATATATTTGTTTTTTTTTACTGACATTGGAAATCAAATCCTAGTTGAAAGTCATTTTTAAAACTCCTGGAAAATACTGCAGCCTAACATCTAACAAGATTTCACTACAGGTCAAAGAACTTTAACTGTTAGCACATTCAAATGTTTCAGACATAAGAAAACAAGTTTGACAGATCTTATGTAGGAAACATATAAGTTAAAACTATTGCTTGAATAAAGTTAAATGAAAGAATCAACATGTGTTTTTTCTTATGCACAGCATGACTAACAGTTTTAACTGGCATATATTGGAACCTACAATGATTTTGAAAGTTTTTACAGCGATGTTCCTGACATAAGATTTATTGACAGACACTGAGCTATAAAGCAAGATATTTGAAAGTGAAAAAAATATATATCATAGATGTTTTTGACTAAAAAAAGTAACAAATTTGGGAACAGGGATGTTTGAATAACCAGACTACACTAGTAAATACCAGTATACAAGTGTTAACATAAAGCATGGCAACACATAAACATTGTGTAAAAAAATGGGAATTAATTCTGTCAAAATTTTTGCATTTTTTCAACTTGTTTTAATCATTTCTACTTTAAATGGAAACAATCATATCCAAAAATTATTTTTATAATTTCTTCTAACATCATTATTCCTCAAAACATTCACAGATTATCTTTAAAATAACAGTAATTATTATTTTTATTTATTTATTCATTTTGACAGACATTTCAATTTCTTATATGGAATCTGCCGTAAGGCAGCAAGATATGTTTTTAATGATTATAACGATAGATCACCAGGTGCTGTCACTGGTATGTTAAACAAACTAGAATGGGAAAACTTACAATCCCGTAAAACAAAAGCTAATTAAGCTTGTTTTGATTTATAAGATTAATGGGGGGTTGGTCGAAGTCACTAATGACGTCCTGACACAATCTGACAGGCGAACTAGAGGCCTATATAAATTTCGGCATATATATACAAATAAAGACTTTTTTAAATCATCTTTTTTCCCCAAGTACTATTGCTGTCTGGAACGATCTCCCAGAAACAATTTGCATGTCACCCTCCCTAGAATCCTTCAAAAGGTGGTATCTCCACCTTAACATTGTAAGGTGTCTTTAAAAAAGAGTTATCACGCTTAAGAAGGCAAACATTCTATAGGTTATACATAGATGATATTTTTTTTAGGTAATTTTACATATACAATCAACATGTTCTATCGAAAATTTCATCGATGTCAATTCTTAGAAATTTAAAAGATTGAACACTCTCAACATTAAAAGTTGTTTTTCACATTTTCAAGGTTCTTATCACTAGTAAAAAGGAAAGTTAATACATCAGCTTATAAATCCTTGTAGGATTTTTCGACATGAAACGGTAATTTAAAAAAATGAACATTCTCAATACACAATGTAACACAGTAACGCAAACGATAGCGAATAAAAGCGTTAAGAACTCATGGTTTTGGCATATAATTGGGTTTTCCTTTGAATGAATTGGGTTTTTGAACCCTGCAATGGGCAATTGCATTGGGTTTTTAATTATTTGTATTGCGTGATCACACAAATACGCAGCTTATCTGGAGCTCTGGCAAGGCAAGATCTACTGACGAGTCAAATTTTGCCGATATGGTTAGTAGACTGTCACTCTTTATAGGAGTGATTGCAATTGCCCTCAAATGAGGATTTTTTTTACCTCATGTGTTTTGAGCAAAAACTAAAGTTAGAGAGAAACTAAATAGACTAAATGATCAGCAATATAAGACCATCAAAACAGAGATTTTTGTCATGAATTCTATTCTCGTAGACCTACAATGAAGGACTCAGAAGGAGAGTGTCCTTTTGTTGAATATGCACATACAATGTGAAAGGAAATTTTGCTTTCAACTTTGAGACCCAATTTTGCCATGAAATCTTCACTAATGCCTAGAAATTTTTGCATATATAAAATTTCTTACCTTTTGTGTGCTTGCTGGTGCAAAATATACCTAGCAACAGTAATGATGAAATAAGTTACAATTCCTTCTGAGATGAAGAAAATGGAAGATGACCTATTTCTTTTTTCAAATAATTACTTAGATTTCCTAAGATCCTTCACCTTAGGAGAGTATAAAATAAATCTAAAAACTGAACTCTGTCAATTTGACATACCTGAATTTGCAGAACATGTGAATCACCATAATCAGGGTTCTCACTTTATGATTTTTTAAGTCCAGATGAGAACCCTGCCAGTGTCTGGGTCCTTCAAATTAGTCCCGACAGTGTCCAGATTCTCCCAAATGCAGTCTGACAGAGGTCAGACAGTGAACCAATGCAGGACATTGTTATGATTTTGATCCGATACAGCATAATATGTCACAACATAGTCCTGATTGCTATCTGACAAAATCGGCTGAGTTTCCCAAAAATATTACAGGGTGCTCTAAACTCATGAAACTGTTGGGAGTGCTTGGCTGATCTCTTCAGACTATTCCCCTATCTAGCATGTCTAGCGGACTCTGTAAAACACATGCAGTATGCGACTGCATTCAAATAGGAGCCATAATCGGCTATGTGTGACCACCACATTAGGGCTATTTAGAGCTTGACATATTGTGTCTATCATGTTTACATAGAACATAGCAGCATGCCCATTGCTGAAGACTGTAAATTGACCTCTTGATGTCTTCATAAGGTTTTTAGTGTCACTGACTCAATGGCTTACAAGTTATTGCTTTAGTATCTCTTTTCTTTATGCCATCAAAGGTTATATTTTGATACTAGTTGTGATACACCCAAATAGTTTGCATACATGTACATGCCTTGTACATTCAGGTGACAGATTTGTTTTCACTTCATATTTGATCCTCTAGAACTGTTGACAGTTATTTTTTACTTTTTGAACATGTTGAAACAAAATTTGATCAGACAATCAATAATTATGTATGATTATGTTACTAAAAATTCTTAATTATTTCATTGCACGTTTAGTCCAGTAAAAATATCAGTTCAAGCATTTCACACTTTGTCCTTTTACCAGAACTGATCTAGGATCCCATACTTGTATCAAGTCTGAGCCCTGATTTATCTGACATTTATTATGCTACTTTATTTTCTGAATATCTACTATTATTTTTTCTAATTATATATACATCTTTTGTTCATGTACACTAAATTTATATATTTTTAGTAATTTACAGTCAGAGCTCTGACATAAACAAGTCAGAATAAAATGACTTCCATAGGTCAGATATAATTTGATGTAAGTGTTGTCTCCCTTCTTGCACTCAACAGAATATGACTTGTACTGGTCAGTTTATGTCAGACTTTAATTTATCATAAAATGACTTCCACAGGTCAGATTTTGCACAAAATATTGTGACTTAATATCTTCATATTCTAATAAGATTTATGCCCCTTTTTAATGCATTTTGACTTCGAGAGGTCATTTTTGTTCTGATTTGAAGCAGTCATTACTACCACTTTGTTATCAATCTCCATAAAAATATGGTGATTACTAGTTTCGAATTAAAGAGTTTTAAAAAGTGGGGCTCATCTGACATCGTACCTTCTCCTTTCCAGAATCTAAACATAATATATTTATCTCATCACTTTCAATTATTTCAAAATACAAAGAAAAACCAGGTGAGAAAAAATGGATCATACAATTTTCTGAATATCAAAAGATTTACAAAATACAATATTGGATACATTACATGACAATACTTCAAATCTTCCAAGGAAAAACAAGACACTTATTCATGATAAGACTATGTTAATAAAAGATATATTCTCATCCACTTTAAGCTAAATGTATTA